GCTATTGGCGGAGGCGTCGACGCTATCGCTGCCGCCGCCGCTGCGAGCCGACGACGACGAACGCCGCGCTTCATGTGCGTCGGCCGGCGGCGGCGGCGGATGGGAGCCTCGCCGGGCCGGATCGGTGCCGGTAGGCCTGGCCTTCGTGCGAGAGCCTCGTCGTGATGGTCGAGACGACTTGTGCGATGCATCGCCGCCGCCGCCCCCGCCGCCGCTCCGTGTGCGCTCCGTGTAGAACGGGGTCGTATTAGCGGCGCTTCTCCCGACCTCCTCCGTCGGCGCTTCCCCGAGCATTGACGCCGCTAACAACGCATCTTCGTCGATGGCGCCGTTCGCCGCCGTCGCGCTACCGTTAGCGATGGCTCTTGCCACCGCCGCCACCGCCTCCCTCGCCAGCTCCCCTTCCTCGCGGCCTCCTTCCCCCTCTTGGGGGGCGGCGGCTTCCTCCCGCTCCTCCGACGATGGTCCCGGCGCGATGGACGGTCTGCGAGACGAAGACCCCTTTCGGCCGAAGCCGTCCGCCCACGTGCCGCCGCGCGACGACGGCGGCGCAGGACCCACGCCGTTGCCACTGGGCCGGCGATCGCCTAACCTAGCGATGTCCTCCGGGGCCGGGTCGTCGACGCCGCCCCGTGGTAACGCCGAAAGACCCCCCCCCCCGGCGCCACTACCGCCGGTTGATGCCGCCGCAGTCTTAAGCAAGACGGTTTGTCTGCTCTGCTGCTTTCCCCTACCGTCGGATGATGTCGCAACCCGCGGCTCGGAAGCCGATCCCTTCGCCAAGCGCTCCGCGGCAACGGCAGCAGCAGACGCATCTGCCCGAGGCCTCTCGCCGCCGTCCTCGTCCCGGCCCCCGTGCTGCCTAGACGACGACGACGCGACGCCGAGTCCCCACCTCGACTTGCTACCACCCCCGCCCCCGGTAGGCGCGGCTCCCAAGATACCACCAGCAGCGGCGGCATTAGCCGGCGCCGCCCGTCCTCCGCCCACTTTGTCCTCCGAGAAGGAGGCCTCGAAGCTGCCGCTGCTGGTGTTGGCCGCGAATATCGCGGCCTCTATCGCCGCCGACATCTTCGAGTCAAGGAACCCGGCGACGTCGCCGCCGCCGCCGCCGCCGCCTCCGCCGCCCTTCCGGTCGGCCGACAGCAGGAGTTGCACGGAGGGGGAGGCGGCGGCGGCGGCGGAGGCGCCGGCCGCACCACCACCACGGCCTCCTTCTCGCCGTCGTCGGCTCCTTCCCCCACCCTTGCCGGAGGCCGCCGCCGCCGTCTCACTGCCGCCGCTCCCCCGCCTCATGCCGGCGCCCCCGCCCCCGCCGGCCGGGTCCACCGAGAGCAACCCCGACGAGGTCAATGCGTCCGCCTCGGTGCCAGGCGGACCTCCGGGCGCAAGGCTCCCCGCTGCCTTCCCTCGCCCCGGTCCGTGAGCTGCTGCGTCTCGGCTGCTACTCCTACCACCGGCGGCGGCGGCGGCGGCGGCGGAATGCCCTTGGTTTCTGCTGCCGTC